TACAAGATACAAGTCAGGAACATGATGAAATACTATCTGTTTGCCTAATGGAGTGCAGCTGTAACAACATTCAAAAAGCTTAACACCAAGAAGGCAAAATAGCCTGCTTGACAGGTACCACATGTATAAACACAAACTCCCTCCACCATCAATGCTCAGTAGCTGCTGTATGTACCATGCACAAGATACACTGAAGAAATTCACCAAAGATCCTTAGACAGCATCTTCCAAACCCACGACCACTTCCATCTGAATGGCAAGGGCAGAAGATCCTTGGGAGCATCACGACATGCAAGTTCCCCTCCAAACCACTCCCCATCCTTAAAAATATATCAAACTCTTGGATTCCCTCCCTAATCGCATTCAAAGTCCACCTACAGCACATGGACTGTAGCAGTTCAATAAGGCAGCTCACACCACCATCTCAAGGGCAACTAGAGACAGACAGTAAATACTGATGCTCAGTGATGCCCACGTCCCACAAGTGAATTTTAAAAAGCCAGATGCACTATATGCTTTATTAACTGTTCTGTCCGCTTAGTTTGCTGCCTTCTGATCTGTACATATGTTCATCCAAGTACCTCTGCTCCAGCAGCCCCTATAGAATTGTACTCCATATTTTGTGCTGTTTTTCAATGTTCTTCCAACCAAAGTGCACCATCTCACACTTCTCTGCATTGAACCTCTTCTGCCATCTGTCCGTCCACTCCACCAACTTGTCAATATCTTTCTACATTGTCCTCCTCACAGTTCACAAGTTTTCTAAGTTTCATGTCATCTGCAAACTTTGAAACTATCACCTTCATACCAAGATGCAGATCATTTACATGTATCAGGAAAAGCAACGGTCCCAATATGAACCCCATGGGGACCTCCACCACAAATCTTCCTCTAGCCTGAAAAATATCCATTGATTATTACTCTCTGTATCCTATCAGTTTGCCAAATTTGAATCCATGTTGCTGTTATCCCTTTCATCTTATGACTTTCTTCACAAGTCTGTTGTGTGGCACTGTATCAAACTCCTTCTGGAAATCTAAGTATACCACATCAACAATGCTGTCCTCATCAAACACCTCCTGATATATCTTCAAAAAAACTCCAGTAAGTTAGTTAACTATAATTTTCCCTTTAAAAATCTATGCTGACTCTTCCTAATCAACCCAACATTTTCCATGGGCTTACCAGTGGGGATCCACAGGGATCAGATCTGGGAATCAGAAAGGCTAATGAAATGGTGACCCTTATTTCAAAGGGTTTGATGTATAAGAGGAGGGATATCTTACTGCGACTCTACAAAACACTGGTGAAACCATGCCTGGAGTACTTTGAGCAGTTTTGGTCCCCTTATTTAAGGAAAGATATTGAACCATTGGAGGCATTTCAGGGAAGGTTCACTAGGATGATCCCTGGTATGGAAGAATGGTCTTATGAGCAAAAGCTAAATATTACGGGACTCTACTCACTGGAGTTTAGAATAATGAGAGATGATCTCATCGAAGCATATAGAATTCTTAAGGGGCTTTACAAGATAAATGCTGAGAGGATGTTTCACCTCATGGGAGAGTCTAGGACCAGAGGGCATCTAGGGATAAAAGGGTGCCAATTTAAAACCGAGATGAGGAAGAATCTCTTCTCAGAGGCTTGAGAGTCTTTGAAGCTTCTTGCCACAAAAAGCTGTGGGGGAAGAGTCCTTGTGTAAATTCAAGGCTAAGAGAGATGGATTCTTGATCAGTGGAGGAATATAGGAAAGTGGATTTGAGGAATACTGGAGCAGCCATGATCCTATTGAGTGGCAGAGCAGGCTTGAGGGGCTGAACAGTCTACTCCTGTTTCTGCTTCTTATAGTCTTATGGTCTTACTAATTCTAAACCAAATAATTGTTTCTGGAAGTTCCCCACTGCTGAAGTTAAACTAAACCATTCTGTAATTGTTGGAATTATCCTTACAATCTTTCTTGAACAAGGTTGTAATGTTTGCGCTTCTGGCGTTTCGCCCATGTCCAGGGAAGCCTGAATGATTGTGACCAGTGCCTCCACAATTTCTACCCTCACTTCCTTTAAAATTCTTTGGTCCATCTTATCTGGTCTTACCAACTTTAAGTGCCGACATTTTATCCAAGATTTCTTCCTTATTAATCTTGAACCCTTCTAGTGGCAGAGTTTCCTGCTGTGACACCATGGCCTGGACAGCATCCTCCTCTTTCGTCTAGAGAGATGCAAAGTACTCATTTATCCAAGTACTCAACTATGTCTCTGCCTCCATGTGTAAATCCCCTTTTTGTTCTCTGATCAGCATTACTCATCCTTTAACCATTCTCTTACTGTTTATGTGCAGATAGAAGACTTTCAGATATTGATTTAGCTACTAGTCTATTCCCATAGTTGCTCTTATTTGCTTTTTCACTTCCCCACAAACCTTAGGCACTTCCAACTGATTCTTCATTCATCTGATGATGAAACGTTTTCCCATGGAACGTGGGAGACTAAGGGGTGACCTCATAGAGGTTCATGGAATTATGAGAGACATAGATAAAGTGAATACCTAAGGTCTTTTCCCCAGGGTAGGGGAAAAGCTAGAGGGCATAGGTTTAAGGTAAGAGGGATAAGATTTAATTAGGGCCTGAGGGGCAACTTTTTCATACAGCGGGTGGTGTATTTATGGAATGAGCTGCCAGAGGTAAATACAATTACAGTATTTAAAAAAATATTTTGACAGGTACATAGATAGGAAAGGTTTAGAGGGATATGGGCCAATAGCAGGCAAATGGGACTAGTTCAGTTTAGGAAACCTGATCACATGGATGAGTTGGGCCAAAGGGTCTGTTTCCATTCTGTGTGACTCTATGGCTTTATGGCCCACATTTAATTATTTATTATCCATACTTTTGACTATTCCAGTGCAATCCTGGCTGACCTCCCAGGAGATAGTAGGAACTGCAGATGCTGGAGAATCTGAGATAACAAGGTGTAGAGCTGGATGAACACAGCAGGCCAAGCAGCATCAGAGGAGCAGGAAGGCTGACGTTTCGGGCCTAGATCCTTCTTCAG